TAATATATTATTATTATTATTATTATTATTATTATTATTATTATTATTATTAAAATCTTGGTTTAGAAGCAACGGTCATTCAGGAACACGAACAAGTAAAACACATGGTTGTGTTCCTGGGTGCAAATATTATTCTGAGAGAACAGAACCTGTTGTCTATTCAAAAAGAGTTATCTGGCAATAATGGACAAATAATGGTTATCTATATGGGGGTCAGAAATCACTACTATAATCCACGAACAAGCACTCAGAATATGTGTAACACCAAAATCTAACTGCAAAGATGATCCTTCAGGCTTTTTCTTTTCAGATAGACCATATTCTGGGAAAATCCAAAGTTACAGCCGATGCCTTATCAAGGCAACGCTGTATATAATTGGTTAAAAGGGAAAAAAAAAGTGGGAGTGGGGGGCACAACTTAATAAAATAATAAAATACAAGGCATGTATTTGCTCAGGAACTGCACACAAATGAATGGCAAGGAGAAGCAAGAAGCAAGAAGGAAAGGGAAATGGATAGAGAATGGGGATAACAGCTGGGGATTGGACTATCACATGTAGCTCATGACACTGGAGGCAGGAAAAGTTAACCCACTTGATTGGCAGCCAGCTGAAGTTTTCCAAGGATGTCGGTAGGTAGCAGTTAGCAAAGGGGGAGAAGTGAAGGGCCTCCGGAGTAGGGAGAAAAAAATGTTTTAAAACAGAACATAAAGAGTACTTCCTTAGGGAGAGGGGACAGCCGAAGTTCAGAGAAGTTTAAAGTGTTACACAATTCTCAGGAAAGGTTAAGAGTGAGAACCCCTTAATTCTTGGAATGGCACAACAGCGCCCCCTACAGCATCTAACTGAGAGGCCTGAATAAATGGAATTCAGCTTTTGCTTCTCCAAGGGAAAAAAGAAAAGATGCCACACCAGGTCTACCAAGGCACAAATGGGAAAAACTGAACTGAACTGCGCCTTTATCATTTCACTCAGAGTCATTAGGAAAGGGGTTTAGCCACTAGAACATTTTTTATTTGCTGGCTCAACCCGGGACATCAGAGATGGTGCTTTTTCCTTGACCGAGCAAAGCCAGGGACTCCAGTGGCCAGCGTTTGCTTATATTTCACATGCGTGAAATGTGAGGAAAAAGAAAAGAAGAAAGAAGGAGCAAAGGGGGTCTGCTGGTCAACATCCAAGTAGGAGACCCAAATATCTCCTTCAAGCCATATGAACATGTGCTGAAATCCAAGAGCTGATTCAAAGAGGTACTTGTTTTGCTAGGCCAGCGTTTCCCAACCTTGGCAAGTTGAAGATGTGTGGACTTCAACTCCCAGAATTCCCCAGCCAGCCATGCTGGCTGGGGAATTCTGGGAGTTGAAGTCTACACATCTTAAAGTTGCCAAGGTTGAGAAACACTGACCTAGGCTGACAATATTCATTTTATTCAGAATTCTGTGTGTATGATTGTTG